CGAACGATTTTTATTAACGAGTTGCTGTGCATCAAAAAACGAACGAGCGAGTTTTTTTTATGCAAAGCAACGAGTAAATAAAAATCGTTCAAGCATTTTCCATGGTGTAATGTTTTTATTTCATACGTACTGAGATTTTTTCTTACTGAAAGCAACACGCTTGTTGCCCTCCACTGTGAAGTACTATCGTTCATGTCTACGATTGGACGAACGATGTATTTTCAGTCGTTCGCTCAGTATGTACGAAATAAATTACGGTACTTTCAATGTTTTGAGAATCAGATACCGTATCAACACTTCTTTGAGCATAAATCTTTCCAAATCCTGAATAATTACTATTTGTTATCAGAACGATTGTCTGCCGCAATCCTCAACCCTTAACAAAACGATCTATTTTTTTTGGTGAAAGAACGTTTCCTGTCCACGTAGAACGTTTGAAGTACTACCCTTCTGATCCCCTAACTCTATCAACTCGGACGTCGTCCAGTTTAAAAGTTCCATTTTCTAAAAAGCAACCGAAGTGGTTGCGTTAACAAATTTTTTAAGGTTTTCCTCCAGCTCTCTCTCTCTCTCTCTCTCTCTCTCTCTCCCTCCCTCCATCAATAATGTGTGTGAAGGTTGGGCTAGAGTTGATTTACGAAAGCACCGGGTGGTACAATTGGCGCCATACATCTTATCATCAGAACACACAAGAGAGAAATTTAGTCGATTCGATCTATGGAAACGATCACATTGATCGCGCGAAAGCGAGGCGTTACCCAGAGGCCCTCTTTGTTCCAGTCTCTCTTACATCCACAGCCGCCATATTTCTTCATCAACGTTTTCCTTATCGCACTTTGTCCGACATGGATTTTCAAAACCGCGCAGGAGGAAAAACGGGCTCGGGTGGTGTAGCTTCGTGGTCAGAATCGAATAGAGACCGTCGAGAACGTCTGCGACAGCTTGCTTTAGAAACAATCGATCTCAACAAGGTAAATATATTTCATAGTTTACGTCGTTGGTTCACAATGTGTGCACGAGCTTGTTTTAACTCGCGTGCATGGCCCACGATAGGACTTGCACGCGTACATTAGCAAAAATCTATGAGCATATGGTATGAAGAGCTCTCGACTTTACGGTTTTCGGCTTCATTATTGGTATACACATACATGTTCAACGTATTTTCAACTTTACTATTTCCACGTTCTTTTGAAAGTTTACCACAAGGTAACAATATAACGATGTGATTTTTGTTGAGGTTTTCATTAATACAGTTACTGATGGTATTTTCAAGATTATTTTATTTTAAGGAGTGATGTTGAACTTATATCCTTTTTGATTTTCAGGATCCCTATTTTATGAAAAATCATCTTGGTTCTTACGAATGCAAATTATGTCTTACTCTTCACAACAATGAGGTAAGGTGTTTAGCTTCGAAGTAACTTATGTTACCTTGTTCACTAATCGATGATACTTTAATCAAGGGAAAGCTATGGAAATTTTTTCTTTGGAGTAAATTTCCATTGAAAATAATTTCACATCTGTCTTATTTGGATGTTTTAAATGGCCAGATATAATTATAATAATTAAGATCAAATGCAAATTCCACCTCCAAATATTGAGAGTTCACAAAATTAATTCTGTATCTCAGTAAATAAAATAAAGTGACTACACAAGTTCTGATGCTACAGTTTGTCTTGCTTGAATTTATCTGCTGAAAAGTGATTCAGCTGAAAAATAGCAAACTGTACCAAATGGAAAAGTAATCTATCCATCATCACTACACTCTGAGTAACCCAGATTTATGCATTGATTGTTATTTTTTATTTTTTTAAAGGGAAGCTATCTTGCCCATACCCAAGGAAAAAAACATCAGTCAAATCTGTAAGGAGTTATGTTAATCATAATAACTAGAAATCACATTATCCTAATACTGGAAGACATTACATAGTGAAACTGAAACAATTATTGGTGCATATGAGCAATAACTAGTGTAGGTACATGTAGGATGCAGGAAGAATGAAAGTCTGCCTTGCTGATTGAATAAATAGCTGACATACTGTACATGTAGAAATACATCCAGATTAACAATTCTTAGAATAACATTTATGACTTAACTCCATAGGGCTCGTCGAGCTGCTAAAGAAGCAAAGGAGGCCCCAGCTCAACCAGCACCTGTGAGTACCTAATGTTGTGACACTTAATAAGAGTCAGCATGTAATTTTCTCATAACTGAGTCGTCCATGATCAATCCTTTAACTCCCAAGATCTGATTGTTGACTCTCCTCTCTAGCTGATGCACATTCCATTGTAAATTGGTTACAAGAATTTGATTTTAGATCAAGATAACAACTTCTACCTGATAAGTTTGAAATCCTCAATACCTGTTAGCAGGATAATGTATAGATATAGTCACTACCAGGAGTATAAGGGTTAAAATACTACATCTCAGGCAGTTTTATTATATTTGGTTTTAGGTATCATTTACTTTTACCTTAGATAAATTTGATGTGGATTTTGACCATCTTTTTTATCCTGATGTGTTTTATGTTTCAATTGTTTTATGCAAACATGCAAGCTGCCATATGTAAACTGTAATTCATCCTAAAACTTCATATTTTAGACTAAATCTGTGCTCCCAAGGGTGATTTCCTTGTTTATCTAGGCCCTTATAGTTATTTAGGACATCCATTGCTCTCCTTTTTTTTTGGTAATTGTTCGTCAAACTAGGAAAGGGATGCTTGTGTACAAAGGAAAGTTGTTGTTTCAAGAAAAAAAGGCATTTTGTTTAAAGTTTGTAAATTACCTTTTTATTTTTTTTACAGGAAAAACCAAGAGTATCTGTTAAAAAGTTTGTTAAAATTGGTCGTCCTGGCTACAAAGGTATTAGAATATGTTCATGTTAAAGTTTTAAAAATTTGGCTGGGTTTATTTTTTTTTTTTAAAAACAAGTTGTAATTTTGGTTAGGAGCTCTAGCAATGTTTTGTGGATGAAGGAAAATTCAAATTAAACAAATTCAAAATCTTTTTATATTTTGCTAACACCTTGCTGTATTGTTCTTTTCCTTTCTTGTAATAAGTTACAAAGCAGAGAGATCCCGATACTGGACAGCATAGTTTACTCTTTCAGGTAATATGTGTGTATCTTTGTGGACATACTTTCATTGCCGCTGTAAACAATGAAAGGTTTATTTAATATCTGATGCATCAAGGAAACCACCAAGAATGCCACTAAGTCAGTGTACAAATTGAAAATAAAATAAAATACTAGCACAGAGAGATTTGATTAGACAATTTTTTTATTAATTGTTTCATTCTACACAATTTTTCCTTGAGCATTTTCACACTGGTTTATACCACTCTGTGGTGTATTTTCAGACAAAAATAATGCATTATAAAGCATGTGAGGGCCTGTAAAATGAAAAACTGTATGGGAATGTGGGGGGGGGAGGGGGCGGTGAGATGGGAAGTGAACTCACAAACCCACAGCCCTTTTAAGGGTTATGGCCTTTGGTGCACTGATGTTATATGACAATATCAATCAAATATTTATATCAAAATTTGTTTACATTGGTTAAATTTGACTGAAAAAACTCCAAAATATCTCGAGGTGTTTAAAATCTCACTTCATAAGTTTGCTCAAAAGCTTCCAAACAGTCATGGACAGCTCCAGATTGATGGTAACCATCCAATATCACATAATACTAAACACCTTCAACAGGCAGTCTACAAGAAAAATACAAGATAACTTCCTGTGTGTAATAAATTTGATATGCACATTTTCTCAAATTTTGACACTATATGTGAACCAGGCTTAAGACCCAAACCTTTCTTTGCCTGGCTGAGCCAGATTCTATTTTTTTCCATTGGTACATCACTTTTTGACTTGCAGTTGCTTTAAGTAATTTCTTTGTAACTACATGATCTTTGTGTAAAAATTTTTCTTCTGCTTGCTGTTAAAAACAAACCTGTTTCCTGCCTCCAAATGCTGAATGCAATTTAAGTGATCACAATTTCTTTTTTTTATTTTAACTGAGTGAACTTGAAAATGTATTCAGCAGTGAATTCCTTAAGTGTTATTTATTGGTGGAATCCCAGGAATATTCCCTTCATTACTGATGCATTCAACCACTATGTTTAAATAAGATAATGGAATTAAATCAATCAGCCAATGAATTTTAAGAAGACTTCTAGTAACTTGTAGTCATGAATGTTTACCAGGTGGATTACCCAGAGATAGCAGAAGGCATCACTCCAAGACACCGTTTCATGTCAGCCTATGAACAGAGAATTGAACCTCCTGACAAGGCGTGGCAGTATCTCCTGTTTGCAGCAGAGCCGTATGAAACAATAGCATTCAAGGTGATTACTTGTTTTAGCCTTTTGATGATCTCTCTGTTTAACTTTACATCATGTAAACTAAGGTCCACCCTCACCCACAAAATTATGCTTCATGATTGGTCAATCATCAGTTAAATTCTTTTTGGACAATGGGTCAAATAGAGATTTTGAATTGTTTTATGGATATTAAATTTTTTTCATCACAGATTCCAAGTCGGGAAATTGACAAAGATGAAGGGAGACTTTGGACTGAATGGAATAAAGACACAAAACAGGTCAGAACATATTCAGCATGTAATTATTATGGGAGGAGATATCATATTAAGGTTAAATTACATGTATCTATGAACTGTAATACACTGTAACACCGATACTGAAGTTCATAAAAATGTGCAATCTAAGAATTAGGAGACATTGATCAAATGGTAGTAGCAAGGAAAGGAAAAGGCATAGCTAGAGGGCAGGTTATACCACCTGGGGGCATAGTTGGGACTCATCTTAAGATACATGTGACCCTTACTTATGTTAAGAAATACTGATGATTTGCCATTATGAAAAGATCTGGTATTCCTCCAAATACCAGCATTGGAAACAACTCTCTTCCCCCCCCCCTCCTCCTCTCTTTCCCCCCCCCCCCCTTGCAGAAAATCCTGCTTACACCCCTCAGACTCTTATCAATACTGGACTTCACTGCCTTAAGTTTGAAACTCAATTTACTGTAAAGATATTAAAGTTAGGTTAGATTAGTGGAAGTTTAGCCCTTCCACATGGCTGATGGCAAATGAGGGTGAAAAGTAAATCTAAGAAAGCTAAGTAACTTGTGTTGTCTGGTTCATGAGACCCATCTTCCATTCATTGGGGTTTGTTTCCATTTTAAGTTAACAACAAGTTTGGTCCTGCAAAAAAAAATATTATCAATGAACTCTATTGTACATTAAACCTAGGAATTTTGTAGCCAAGAGGTTTTCATTTTAGGGTTTCCTGTATGGTTTAACATTAAAGTTAACACTCTGTTCTCGTTTCTTACAGTTTTTCCTTCAGTTTCATTTCCGGTTGACTCCCATTCAAATTCAACAGCAACAGCAGAAGAGAAGTGTCAATCAGCCAGGTGTGCCACCAGGTTTAGCCCCACCTCCTCCGAGGAACATTCCATCTGCCAATCCACTCAACCCATTTGCTCAGCGCTGATAAGCTATGTTGTTTATGTTAACTTTTTAGGACCATGCTTTCTTTTTGACACTTTGAGTTTGACTAAAGAGTAAAATTGATTTAGGAGACTCTTAAATACTATCATCTATGTAATAAAGTGGAATTTACAACTTGGGAAGGCTGTGTCTCTTTGGTTTCAACAGAAAATATTGGTGTGCCTAAAGGTCCCAAATAGAGAAGCAAACTTTAATGACATCGCGAGCTAAGAAATACAAAAACGAAACGCTGACAAAACCCCGCCTAGGAACACAGCCTTACTTTCGAAGAAACGAAAAGTTCGAGACGAGCGCTAAGAAGAAGACATTATTCTGTCAGTTTTATTCTGTCAGTTTAATTCTAGCTTGTTCCAGATTCTCGGCGAGTTGAAACGGGTGATAGAAGCGGGCACGCGAAAAACCGTGGGAATGGGAGTCAAGTCAACAAAAACCACTTGCCTGGCAAGCGCAACCGTTATTTGTCACTCGCACGTTCTTTAATTAACCTTCTTCGTCTGTTTTAAAAGTACATATTATGCTTAAGCTCATTATGCGCCAGTCAATCTTGGCTTGACCTTTCTCGCCCCCCCGTGCCCAAGGGTGGTGAATTTGAAACTTGCCTGGCAGGGGTAGGGAATTTGAACCAAAAGTGTCAAGTAATTCCAGCGGAATTCGAGTAGTATATCTTTAAATATGGAGATATGGAGGTGATAAAGGTGAATAGTTCAAAAATATGGTTCTGAGGAAAAGATCTCCACAATCCAGGTTTTAAAGATTGGTCTATGGTTAGAAAGCCACGGTCGCTGATTTTGCCTTTTAGAAAAAATTGGGTGGGGCATTTGAACACAATTCCTTCTCCGGAGGGAAGGGGCGCGGGAATTTGACCAAACCAAACTTAAAAAGTTCAAATGTCTGGGGGGGATGTTGAAGCTCCGAACTGACCGATGCATTATTGTTACAAGCGCTTCGTGTTTGAGAGCGCATACGTGAAAGAAGTATTTAGAGTTGAGGTTGGAAGAAAGTACTTTTGTCTAAAGTAGTGGTTCAACTCTTAGCCTCATCTTTACGTTGTTGATATCCAAAGAGAGGGAAGGTCATCATTTTCATGCTAAATCGTACCCCAAAATTTTTCATTTTTCTCGGATTACTACCATATCCCCTTTAGCTCCCTCTCGAGTTCCCTTAACTTCTTCAAAATAAAACAACAACAAAAATATGTTCATTGATTCCATAAGAGGTACTGCACATTGCAGTTAAAAAACCTATTCCAAATCAACTCTGCGGGGGATCGGAGGTGGAGCTCCCTTGGCGTCAACCTTCAAGAAAGGTTCTTCAGAAGAGTCTTCCCCAGACACACCTACTTGGAAGTCTGGCACAGTAAAACTAATGTTTTCGCTGGACATATAAGTCATTTTAGATGAGTTGCTGTCAGAGACTGAAAGATAATTTTTCTGTTCATTTGGAAGTTCACTGAAGACCGGTTTACGTTTGGGTTTCAAAGGTGGAGAAGGGATAAGGTCCCGTCTCTGAGGAGGTTCCGGTTTAGGTACTTTCATGGCCGGTTGATTACTTTCAGTGACTGCCACTCCTGACGACTTGGTTTTTGTCCGCGGAGGTGCTACCGGTTTCACTGCTGTCTCTTCGACTCTGATATCATTTTTAGGGTCTTTTTCAAATACAATTGAACGGGGCCTGGGCATAGGAGTTGGTTTGGAAAGAGATGAAGCCCTTTTAATTAGCTCATCTTCGTTATCAGCCGTAGTACGATGTGTGTTTGAACCAGGGAGAACCGAATCTGAACTTTTATCTTCGTCATGTGACGTCTGCTGTGTTGAAGGTTGACCATTTTCGCGTTTTCCATCTGAAAAAGAAAGTTTAATGTATTGCGTTACGTAGCGTTACGTAGCGCTACATAGCGTTACATAGCGCTATCACTGTCAGGAAACTTCCTATTACTCAATGCGTTTGACCTCTATGCCCTTGCCACTGAAGGAACGGAAAAGGACGACACCCTATCCAGCGATCGGTTCTCTAACACTGCCTTGGTCCCGGTATTTCAAAGAATATTTAACTCTCTTCCCGGCGATCACGTAACGCTAGACGAAGACAAGGAAGCGTTAGAAAATTACTTCGGCCCGAAATATACATAGTCTAACACCGACTTTTCTTAAGTAAGCATGTATATTTATGATCTATCTTCACTGGCCGGCAACCCTGGCGGTTTTATGGGGGTTGGGAACAACAGGAAGAATGGAAAGGACAAAACCGCTGGCCCGTCACACCTTTTCGAAGCTCAGCCTTCTTCATTTCTGTCTGCCCCCTACTTAGCCTAATTGAAACACCTGTTTTTGTTTCGGCTTTTTCCACAGAGTTCTTACCATCCTCTTTTTCACTGGTAACACCATCAGGCAGCAAAAATGATGGCAGTAGTTTAGGATCATCTTTGGCTGCAAGCAACAAAGCCTGCACGTTATCAGCGCCAATGTGAGCCACATGTTGAACATTAAATGGAACACCAATACCAGGACCCTTGAAAATAAACGTTAAGTCATTATGTCAGCTGATAAACAAACTAATGAAGCCTCCCTCAAAATGGCGGCTGACAATAAAATCATTTATCCATCGTACAACTCTGTTCTTTTATGTATACAGGGTGCATTGACACATAGGACTGGCAGAAAATAAGCAACCTACATGTCAAAATAATCCATCTCTAAAGAGTAAAATTACAAAGGAAATTAATAACAGCAACCAAATGGTGCAAGTCACTGAGTCAGCTGTTATGGTCGCCAACAAAGTTCAGTAACTGAAGGAAAATAGAGGCATTGGTATGGTTTGGGGTATATATTATGTTATTAGTTATACAAACAAAATCATGCAACTCCACTAAGTAACAGTGCAGTTTGATTAACGCTCATTTTTCCAAGTGACTAACTTGGAACAATAAGTGTCTCTCTAAAATATCAAAACATTATCGAGCAAGCAACTTAGGAGAATACACAAACTTATAAGCTGAAGGTCGTTTTCTTTAAGCAGCACCATCTTCTTCTTGCCGATTTAAAAGGTCATGTATGGCAAGTGGAATAGAGAGTTACAAATCAGAGTACGCCCAGCTGAGTACCTGTTTGCCTTTCTTGGCGGTTGCATGAATGACGTCCACTTTAGGCTTAGGCTTGGGTTTAGGACCCTCCGGATGGGCCTCAGAGAGAGGCGCTTTAGGGCCACCAACGGCCCTTTTCGGAGGGGCTGGTCGTTTTGGCGGCGCAGGTCTGCTGGGTTTTGAAGGTTTTAAAGATTCCTTCACCAAGGGATCAAAATCATCAAGGGCCCCACCTGCCACAGATTGGCCGGCGTCAACAGGTGCAGAAGCTACAAGGATCTCCTCGACTTTGTTGACCTGAGCTAAGGCTTTTACTGGAGGTTTGGGTCTCGCAGGCACTGGCCTAGGTGGTGGTGGCCGTTTAGGTCCAGGCTTTTGATTGTCGTCACGTTTAGGGCCTTCGTCTATTAAACAAAAGAGGCGTTTTGGTTTAGGTGAAGCAAAGTTGTAAGTGGGAGATTTTCCACTATTAAGAACGTTTTCAGGCACGAACCAGGATCATGGCGGGATTTCATAAAAAATCGCTACTGTCAGTCTGATGGGAACGACAGTTTCCAATACCAACGTGATAGCGAAAAAAGTTCTTGCCACGAAACGGGCATAAGTACCACCAATAAAATGATTCAACCCACTATCATGCTCTCCTGAAGTCAAACGATACTTGAATTTCTGAGGGGAATTATTGCCTTAGTATCTCGTTTAAAACTTGAAACAAGTTTGGTGCTTGCAGTCTCATTTTCATCGAATGAAAAATGTCTAGGCAAAATTCTGTGGCAGCGAAGACTTTCCGATAAAACCTACCTGCCACAAAGGCAGATTGTAACATAAAGCTGCATGACTAAACAGTAGTAAGTTCCTTACCACAGCCTTCGTTGCCGGTCTTCTTCATTTCACGGTCTGCTTCGGGTTCGCTATCATCGTCACTATCATAATTTACCGCATAATTTCCTTCGTCTTCCGGTTCACTCTCGGAATTTTCATCATCCAAAGCTTCTGTTGAATGAATCCTGATTGGTTCCAGGACAGGTAAGTCCACTGACTGCTTTTCTGAGGAGGACGACAACAGATCTGACAGCGCCCGACCTCTGACAGGATTTAACGTAAAATTTCTGTAATCTTCAGAGTTACCACTGAATGAGGACTCGTGGGAGACAAGGTTTTGAACTGTAAGGTCCGTTTTGGATAAGAGCGATTCAGATTTAAGACAAACTTGCACTGTTTTACCAGATATCTGCGAAAACAAAATCGTAAGTGCGTCATTAAGTGAACATGCATTCAACTTGTCAAACTGCGAAACAAGTGAACAAGTTGAGGGGTTCTTTTTTCATGTACGATGACGGGAACTCTTACAAAACCGTCTTAAGTAGCTCTGAATCAGTCTGCATAATACTAGACACGAGATGCCAAGATTAACGCGGAAATGCACTCCTATACATTTGTCATTTGGACGCTATCTTTTCCTTAACGATCATAGTTTTCCTTGAGCTTTGCTTTCGCAGTTTTGAACGAACATACGAGTATATTTTCGTGCAAAATGGAAGCTTTTGTCTTTGCGCCCCAAAATTCTTTAAGAAGCTGCTGTAAGACCCAGCGCCCCTATGTGCCCATACTTCAGGCACAATTCCACATTTACCTAATCTTTACCTCTTTTCCGTCAAGCTCCAAAGCTTTCAAAGCGTTCCGCCCATCATCCATAGTCAAAAAGATTTCGTCATCGACCACCCTGAAAAATACACACCAAACGGCTACATCGAGAGCCCCTTTAACACGAGAAGGTTTTCTTCTACAAAGCTTCACAGGAAATTTTCCTGGACGACAAATTTCATTTGTCTGTGTTCTTCCTGTGACTTAAATGCTTGTGCGAACAATAATCATAGTAAGTCGAGTGGTCTGGTCTGAGGTATTCCTGAGAACGACTTTGCTCGGCAACGGAGTCTGATGCTTTGACAACCTGAGCGTGAATCATCTCTGAGTCCACTGATGTGACAACTTCCGATGAGGTTGTTGAAACATCAATCCTTTTTCTCTGAAAAGTCCTTTTCAGTACAACACCCTTGCCCACAAGATCACATAACACCATACGCTGTTACTCTCGGGTTAAAACCACTAACAACCAAAAAGATAAGTTTGATGGTGCTCACTAGTCGTTGCTACAGGCCAATGGTAGTAGCCAGTTAACCTTTTTAAGGTTACTTCCCACCTCCGCGGGTGTCCTTCGGCAACAAATATTCGTACCCGCGCTAGTTTCACTAAAATCCTAGCAAACTATACATCAGAAGAAGACTTAATAAATGCAGTTTACGATAAAAATATGATTTAAGCGAGTTTTCCTTTTAGGAAGTGTCAGGAGCCGATTAAGCGTGAAACGACCGAGGGTTCCTCTATTGAATTTATCGGGTATCAGATGCCGCAGCACAAGCAAAATGGCTGCACAGTCGTATCACAAGGAATCAATCAACAATGGTGCTGTCAGGCTTGTTAGATTTTCTGAATGGTTGTCTAGATATCGACATCTTAAGTTAGAGTAGCTAAAAATATGCGAAGCGTGTTGCATAAATGGACGCCACTGGACAAATGTTTCAAATATCAAAATTTCTCGACACAGTTTCGTTTGTAATTATTTCTGGAATGTTTTAGCGAAATTTGACGAAAATCGACCAAATCTAAATACCCTAGAAATTCGAAAATTCCCCCAGGGGATTCGCCCAGGTACGAGATTAAGACATCTTCCTAATTTGACTACCTTTATCTGAAAATAAGTTTTTCAAAGGAACTCGGATGCTTTCGGAGATTTAATAATTTTTTTCTTTTGGAAACCTTAGGTAAAATGTTGAATTCAGTCTAGCCAAATAAAAGAAAAAGTTTATTTTTCGGCCTTTGAAGGTGGGAAGTAACCGTAAGTTTTCCTGTAACCAGTTCGCTACGGCTTATAAAATTTTCAATATTTCCTTGAAAAGCGCTGGCGGAATGAATAAGTATAACGCCAATTTTGGAATATCTGTTAATTTAGTAATTTCTTTTTTTAGACAGAAACGTGGCGTAACCTTACCATTGTCGTCAGTAACTGGGTAATTTCATTCTCACCTCACTAATACAACCGTCCCATAAGGCTCCACAGCATCAAGAAGCTCCGACACATCAATCCCAGCATCCTCTTCAGCTGCTTCGCCACTCGTAACCACAATAGTAGGGTCAGCAGGACCCATTGCTCTCATGACATGGTCATGTACGTCACACTGTTTCTTCCAATCAACCTGCTGTATCTCAATCTCTACGAGGGCAACAACTGGCCTGTGGAAGAGTATTAACGTAAACTTGCAGTGGGCACAAATGTCATCATAATTTAGTATGAGCGTAAAATCCTGTTTTCAACAACATGTCTTATACAACTATGTATCACGTTTTGCTTTTCCTTATATGCCTAAACATGAGAAGTTAAGCCAAACAGCTGGAAAAAAAAACTACACAAAGACCCCAACAATTTTGTTAAATAACCGCTGATCCCACATAGCCAGTAAAGATGAGAAAATTCCCACTTTAAGCTACCTGCTCCATTTAAAGGACAATATATGTACCTGTGATCTGAGGTTTTCAACTCAGCCCGGCCGTAGTATAAAACTTTTCCCGCAGAGAAATTAATTCCTCCCCCTTCATGTGCCTTATCGCCTTTCTTGTCTAAAAGGAAAAAAAAAGGCAATTAGGAAGACAATTAATTACGGTAAGACAGTATAGATCTCTCTATTCCAGTAGTATGTCAACAAAGCGAAAAAATGAGACCTACACTTGTTACAGAATCAAAAAAATATGTAGGGGGAATAATGATCTATTGGTGACTTAAAGACTATCCAGTGTGTGTACTTCATGAATTTTTATGGCAATTTAAACTCGTTCAAGGAGTTTACGGACCAAAATAATTCTGACACTATCATGATAGACTCTCCTTTACAGTGGTGACCATCAATAAAAAGTTGTCACAGGATAAAAAGATTTAATACCCCAGCAAGAAAGGACACAATCCGAATTATAAGCGCTGAAAATTTTGAGTCAGAGCGAATCATTTATTGAAGAAATGACCGGTCAAGTATTTTTGTCTAGGAGCTAAAGCACATGGCTTTGTATTCAGCTGCTAGCTGTCAAAAGAGAGTGTGACTTGTCGTCTGCATTATTTTTTTCACCTTCATTTTCATCCTGATGCTTAATTTCGCCTTTCTCGTCTCCTTTGTCTGCCTCATCCTCATCGTTGCTATTATCATCTTCCCCGTCCCCCCCTCCCATCAGGAGTGATTCATACCCCTGTTCCAATTGATTCTGCTGCGCAGACACATGTTTACGTACTAATGTGGTTGACTTGTACCGAGGCTTTCTCCGTCTCCAAAGTACGCGGTCGGTCCAGGCAGGAATACGCATCTTCTCGCTTGTATCGTAGTCGTCAGAAAATAAGTCGTACTTGTAAGTTGGAGCAAACGCAATTTTTCCTTCATGAAAGGCGCAGAAGACCTTACAAATAAACAAAATATAATCACTGAAAGAAATGACGAGAGAATAGAGTAAAGTTGTCACAACGATTACTTGTGATGTCAGTTATTTGCACATGCGCGATAACGAACTGAACCCGAAGTGCGATTGGGCGGAAATTTCTATCGTTCCGAGGGGCAAACTGAAGTTAGACAATATGGACCTTTTCTGGAATAGATAATCAGTTAAGTTTCCGTACCATTTTAGAATTGGCACATAGTTTACCTTGTGTTCATTCCTTTGTTTGATAAGTTGATCTTCCTTTAAAAGTTCTTCCCATTGTTTGTTTTTAATCAGTTCTTTCACTTCGTCTATTGGCAGATCAATGCGATAGTTGAAATCTCCACACCAGAATACATAGTCATGTGAGGTCAAGCTGCGACCCTAGGAGGACCATGTAACAACACAATTGTATAGAGTGCATCTTGAAATACTTCGCTAAAGATTTTGGAAAAACAGACTCTTCATTCATAGATAACGTGCAAATTAGTTCGACTTTTTGGGAATAATCAACATGACAAATGACAAAATGAACCTCTGGACCTGGAATCAAGCGATAAAATGGTCTTAAGGGGATAACCATGGATACTGATAATTGTCAACAAACAACATAACATAACAAAAGGTCTCTGTTACTTGAAAATAAATAAAATAATGCTTAGTAGAAACTACAACTTTTTTTTGAAAAAGTGGTGCCTGTAAAGCAGTCATTTCAGCCACTTCTTTAGCCTTATCAAGAGATAAACGAGTGAAAAAAAACCGCACAAAGCCTTAAGACACAAGAGAGGAAAAAAAAGAACGAGCTGCCACTGTTCTTTGCTCGCTTCCGCCAAATCCTTTCGCACGACTACCGCTGGCTAAAAGGAAACTGATAGGACTGTTAGACATTCTTCAACAGAAGCCAGGCAACACCTTAGTAAGTGTAGCGTTTCTCTCGACACTATGGAAAATAACTGTTTTAATGTTTACACTCAAGAACCAAAAATTTAGATTATATCTGCCAATATCCCAAAAAATTGTAAAAAATTTAACTCCCAAAGCGCAGTTTTGTCTCTTCGGCGGCTTAGAAGGAAATCGAAGATGCCAATCACTCCTGAGCAAGTCGATCAGGGCGCATAAAGCAGAATACAATAGTGTGCCGGGTACATACTACATCCTATTACATTTTTTCTCACCATGGGAAAAGCTATCCTTGATGTAATATCGTGATAGTCACTGTTCCTATCGTTCACACCCGACTGACCGGCAGCCAGATGTGAGCAAATAAAACAGATGGAAGTGGCGTGAAGTAACAGACGGATGGCCACGCCTCCCTTGTTCCCAGCACTTCCCCCGAGGCCTGTTTTCACAGAATGGACAGCCACATCTCTGAAATAAACCATAGTACGTGCTCGATTCCTTTTGGCTTTCAGTTAGCGCTTTATTCATAACAAGAAAGACTGCGTTTACGTAAAAAAAAAAGGTGTCATGATGGAGGATGGAAAATATAATCTGCCCTGTCGTTATGGAATTCTTTAGAATGCGGAAACGTCAAGGGTTGTAATCGTTGTTTTTCTTCCAAGATTGTGTCTCTGGATTGGTCTTTGTGATATCAAGACGTAAGCAATATTGAAACTTAATTATGATAAAATGCTTCTCGAGGACCCACTCCCCCCCAACAAGTGAAAAGACTCTGTACGAACTTTTGCTTACGTTTCCTAACCGTCGCGAATTCGACAAATCACCCTCTATGATATAATCATCTTGGATAGAAGATAACATAGAAGAGTTTAATCACCTGATGAATGGGACCAGATGAGGCCGAATAAACACAAACATACAAACACCAACCAGCTGCTCACATGTCACCAGAACATACGCATGATCACGTGATACGATACGGCGCAGCTCCTCGCCCCATTCCTTACGCTGATTTGAACTGAAATTGTTAAAAAAAGTATCTTAAGTGGAAGTACAAAATAAGAGTCCTTTTATCACTTAAGACTCCAATATAACTGAGAGTATAAAGAATATAAATAGAGATGATTGTCATACAAAAAAAAATAGAAAATAGCATTATTAAAAATAGCGGAAATGACTCTACGTGGGTCATAATGCTCTATTTCTTTCCAGTCTGTGGATAAAGCCATTCTTCAATTAGCTGATGGTCGTAATCTGTTCGGTCCAGTACAACAACTCCGTTCTCTTTGTCAGGTTTTAAAATGACAATGTTTTTGTTCTTCCTTAGCTCCTTAAGAACTCTGAGTTCCTTGAGGTCGGCAGTCGTGGAAAGGTATAAAGAAACATAAGAATAAGCCAAATGAGAAAGATCCTAAGCAAGTTTTCTTGCTTGTTTGGTGTCTCTCAAGTTCTTGGCCATGGTGTGGTTGATGAGCTCAAAGCATGTGAAGACATCTGACTCATATATTTTTGGTAGACGGATGGAATGTGATTATCCAAATTTGAGAATGTTAAGTTGTTCTGATGTGAGACTGAGGGAGGAAATGTTGGTGACAGTCTTATTTGATGTAAAGGGAAGAGACGTGTTGCGAGTGAGATTTTAAAGCTTCTTCTGGTGAGTCTTGATAAATTGAGCGGTTGCTTTAATAACGTTGTGATGTAATGTCCGTTTAAGAATATAAAAGTCAACACTGTTCAGGACACTTTGGACATGAGTAGTTGACTGATCTCTAGCGTGGATCAATTTTCGAAGTTCCTTGGAGCGTTTGGCGATGGCACTTTTCAAAAGCTGCTTAAGTATGGTGATAGTGTCGTGTCGGTTGGTGTTGGGAAGATTGAAGCTAAGAAACTTAGGAAAAACATTGAAAGATTGACAATTGCGTAGGAAGCTTAAATCCAACTCAGCTTTGCGGGATTTGAACGAGATCATCTCAAATTTTCGCAGATCAGCTTTCCTGCTATGTCGCGAGTGATGTTTCCAAAGGGTCTTGATATTAGCAGGCAAGTCAAGAATTTAAAGAAAGCGACAAAACTTTTGAGTATGTAAAACATGTTTCGACATAAACTTCTGTCATCTTCAGTTAATTACTATACAAAGCGTTGAAAGTTGAATTATATAGAAAGTAGAACAATGCTAATTAAGATGAATAGTGACAACAAGAAGAGAGGTAAAGCACGCAAGTGTGAGAATTAAAAAGATAGTTTTAGATTTACATGGTGTAATTATTGATTCAAAGATGGTTGTTCTCTTTGAATATGAATAGCCTCTTTTATCTTAAGCTGAAAACCGGTAGAGGCGTGATCTAAAACATGGAAGTTCGCTGCTGAACACAAAGCGCGACAGTGCGGAGAATCTTTCATATGCCTGAAAATGTGAGAGGCCCTATCACCGACTAAGTGCTCTCTAACACGTGTGGGAAAATGCCGGCAGGTTTCACCGACGTAACAGGCATTACAGCCAGCACACACAAACTCAAAAGTTTTGTCGCTTTCTTTAAATTCTTGACTTGCCTGCTAATATCAAGACCCTTTGGAACATAATTTCATTAATAATGACCGACTTTAGGAGACATTCGAAAAGATTACCAAACAATTACCTGGTTGAAACAATATTTGATGCATTCAAGTCAACCAGCTCCTCAAAGCCTATAGCAAAAACATCTGTGGGTACTTTAAAATTGACATCACCACTTTCTGAATAACCGCTGTCCGGAAGTGTTTCGTGAAAATCTAGCAGCCAATCATGCATTGTTTGGTGTTTGTGAGCGATACTCCGAAAGTGTTTCCCTCCGTTTACATTCCATGTGCCGACACAGACCCGTATATTGGACCACGTGGTGTATTCAAGATGGCGATCGCACAGCTCCCGTAGGATCATGGGTGATGCTGGGGAAAGAGAAAGCAAGTTACGGAATGGAAATTTCACGTAATTAGCACAGCTTGGCACTTCCCCAACCGAAATGCAAATGCAAAAGAACGGACTTTCTATTACTTTACCGGGGTGTTAACCCTTTACGGATGATTGAAGAAAAAAAAGCAGACTTCTCGTGTCATTCCTATGTTACACTGTTCTTGTGTCATCCCTGCATACCTAGTCATTTTTTTCGTTGATAAAATGCGGTCGCTTTAATTCACGATAATTCGTAAAACTTTCACGATTTTTCGTTGGATACAAACCCAGGAAACAGAACATCAAGGATGCCAGGTGGGGTCATGTAACTTACAGTGAAGAAACGAAGCATACAGCAACGCACGTGCCCTTTCACCCAACTCTCCAACAAATGTGTTGCCTAGCAACAACATGTCAATGGCCTCTTGTTTGCTTCCATCCAAGAAATTGTTGACGATGGTTCTGTGGACTGAGCGTGCACCATCTCGTAGCTTGTTGATCACCTTTGAAAGACAGAAAAAAAAACTTCTCAACCAACCAGATGCATAACACTAACCTAATATGGCCTGGTAAGAGAATATAATCTCTTGGGTTGACCAGTCGGGTTTTTTCGCACTTCAAGCATATATTATTACCTTCTGACTTCCTGCGATATTTACCTTTTATGATTGGTTGTTGTTATCATCGTAATTTTTGAAAAAAAAACTCAAGCTTAAATCCTTCTATTTCATGTACATTTACAACACATCAACTGCTTATTAGTCAGCCATTAACTTTCCCCTACTATACGAAATGAAATTTCATTTTTCCCTTGTTTTTGTCACCACGATCTCCGCCTTCTTTTTTCTTAATTAATTCATCATGAAGAGACTATAAAATGTGTATAATCTCTTGTTCATCATTCGCTCTACCTTGGCTTTGCCATCTAAGGCCCCTGTGCCAAGATAGATGCGGCTGATATGATCGCCATTTTGTGCCCACATGGTACGGAAAGCCTCCTGAAATCTGGACAGCATTCCTTGTTTGCTTGTTAAACCAAGGAATTCTAACTGCTGCGATAACATCTGCAAAAGGAAGACATTAAGTCTAAACACAAGCTTAGCAGCCCATCTTATCCCGATTTCTGTAGTATTAGGAGTCTGGAAGTAATGCCTCTCTTCTGGAAAGCTTTCCTGTGAGTTATCCCTCATTGGTGCAGAGGCACGAGCCGGGAAGCCCGCAGGTTTCGAAGCGAGCGAGGACTGTGTGGAGTCTGGCACGAAAACTGATTTTAAGCATTACATTCCTCACAACTTCGTTTAAACTCGTTTCGCTCCTCGTTTCGAATTTTAAGGGTTTCGCCGCTCATGCGCAATGCTAATGATAGCCTGCTCATAGGCTACTTGAATGCAATTTCATAGCAAGTAACCCCTGCCCTCTCTTTCCTTAAAAGCATTCTACCAGGTTTCTCCCGCAGTTTGTTAGTACGTTTTTGAACTATTAGGTGTTAAAGGGCCTCGCTTTTTGTCTAAACTGACTTTAGAGGACTTAAGAAGAGAGGTTTTTCTGTGTGGACGGGCAACCGGGAGAAGAATGAAACTAATTCTGGCGCGCTCAAACGCTTAAGTATCGACCCTAAGGTCTTTGTTTCTGCATTTTAAACCAAACTGTACCGACCAAAAATGTGTATTGAACACAATCAGCCGGTCTAGTCTCCACCCCTCATCTTTTCATCCAGATTCCACCACAACAAACACTAGGAAAGCGCATTCCCTGTTTGCTTGTTGGATCAAGACATTCTAATTGCTACTACTAAAACTGTAGAGGCTAGGAGAGATGCAGTAAACATAGTTCGACCGTGACAGCCTAATAACACAAACATCAGACGAATTGGCAACCACGTTCAAGTGAACAGCGACCTGAACTACTCCTTGAAAACTAACACTCGAATATAAATTGCAAGTGTAAATTGCACACCCACTGTGAAGTGATTCCAAAATTAAAATCAGAACACTTTGCAACTGATTGTCCTGGAAGCAAAGCCTAATTACTTGTAATCTAAACGGTCAAGCAGAAAGACAAACACAACACGGGAAAATGCGAGAGCCCAACATCTGTCGATTCTATTTTGCATCCACTGGCTGAGAGGGTGAATAAATTTCTTTTCTTAACCAATAACAGAACATAAAGAAGCAATTCCACCATATGAATTTCTTTGAACGTTTAATTACAGATTCATCGTTAAATTCAACATACCTCAAGTCCCAAATAACTCTGCACACTGTTGGTACGATCTATGCAATCGATACAGTTTGTACGAACAGCTCCTTTTTGTTTCCTGAGGAAGACACAGTACAAATGACTAATAGTAATTAGGAAAAGACAAACGCGAAGGAAACAGCTATTTTGCACGGAAAGATTTCAGCAAGACCCCCTATGGTGAATGAAAAAGAGGTGATTCTTTCGTTATCATTTCAGCCTGAGAACTACTTCAATTACGAAATTAAGGTAAATTTCCTAAATTCGGTTTGAAGACTCAAGATACTTTTGGAGGGTGATAAATGCTATTTGAACTATGAATTCACTGAGAAAAAGATTATCAATAGACAAAGAAAAAGCACCACACTTTTTAATGTGATCTCCTCTAGCAAAGAACAAGCCAAACTCGTCAAGAGAAGGTCGCGCCTTTTCCTTCAGCGCCGATAGCTTGTCCAGCTTCCCACCTCGGCAGTTTTGATGATAGTCAAAGCAAATCATGCGAGTCTCCCGGCCATGAATTGAGTCTTTCAACTGATCCTGAAAATGAATTAAGGGTTCAATCAAATATAGTATTGGATCCTTGGAGAACCACTGTCTAAAAAAGGTGCCACGTCTATACTTTAGGAGAAAAATTACTCAAAAATCTTTGAAATCCTAAACTTCATTAATCTTTTAAGTCTCCTCACATCTACAAAGCGCTATTCAGCGAAAATGTAACGAGATTGAAAAACCTACAAGTTCGATAAAACTGTCTTGATTTAAAACGAAATTCTGAAACTTAATTACAACTGAAGGCAAACCAACTAGAATGACTCGAGTAGCTGGTGGTTTTGTTGACAATCAATGGAAACGATGAGGAAGGCAGAACTGCGGAAACGAACAGCGGAGCTTTAGGTTTAGAAACCAGTTATCGAAGCAGCCACTTTTGAAAACTTGCACAGCGACTCAATTTGACCAATGATATCAACCGCATGCCACATGGAACCTCACGTCACACACGTTAAAATCAAACGCATTCCCATGCTTGATTTCGCTGAGTTTTACTGCCAGCATAGAACTAAAAGGGACGAGAGCCCATTGAACCAGAGAGCTTTATTACCTGGCATTTTTAGCAACGCATCCAACCTCCGTATGAGAGGAATCACAACTAGGTAGGATTTGTACCTGATATGCACTGCTAAGTGTGTTTTCACCTTCTTTTGTACCAAGCAAGTTCACAAGTAACTGTTGACCATAAAGATTCTTCAGGCTTGTCAAATGTCTGTAACAAATGAACAAAAAAGCGATTAAAACCTTGATTGTCAATTCAGAGTAAAGAGACTACATTTATATCATTATGCATGGTATAAGGATATCTAAGTGAAATATTAGAATATATTTCTTCCTCACACTTCTAAATTTGATGATGATAAAACTGCTTTCTGGACAATTCTAAAATGTTAGTACCCCGATATCACGCTCAGAAAACCATAAAACCCTGAAATATGTCTGGAATGTTCACTGCCTTGTGACCGATCATTTGGAAGATTGTTACCTTGCTACTGTTATCATAACAGACAGTAGCAAGGTAAACTCTCTGGCACAGAAATCTTAATAATGATAGTAGCTAGGTTAAGTCTCTTGTACAGAAATCTTTATGAGACTTTAAAGACTTTACCTTGCTTCTGTTATCATTGAAATTTCTGTACAAGACTTCTGCATGTTAACTGAGGTCTAAGGTTGTATTCCTCTTGGGAAATTCGTATTTCTTCTTTGTTCCGTGCTTGTGACCAACCAAATCACAGTCTCTCTTTATTGAACTAATGTAACACTTTTTTGGAGCGTTTTTATCTAACCTGTCAAAAGCAGGTGAAGATGCTTCAAACCCTCTGGAAAGTTTGACTTTGTGAGAACCAACCTTATGAAATACAAATAAATATACTTTTATGACATCACCTTTTGTGGTTCAATGGTCGATACATATTATCTTGCTTAGTTCTACATTCATCAATGAAAACCCCACAATACATTTCTTTTTTTTCACACCAAGAACCACTGGATATAACTTATGAAATAATTGTGTTAATGTAGAGCAAGTATCATATAATAGCTCTCTTTTACATAACTAATTTATCTACATTGCCTCTCATTACCAAAGAAAATTGAATAACTCAATCTAACGAAACAATTCTATCTCTGAAATTTTGCAGGAAATTAAGTCACACTAATTTTAAAGGGCACTTGTGTCACTCCTGCCTAGGAATTTGATTGATCATTTTTATTCTTATATTCTTTTCATAGTCTGATACATCTATATACTCTATTAGGATCCTCACATATTCTATATATTATCTTACAAATTTTATGCTATATTTTTACCTATTTTCCTTAACTTATTCTTTTTGTTTTGTTGTCAAGCGTTTCGTACACGAGCCTCATTGCTCAGATGATTGAGCGACCACTTCTCACGTTGTTGACAATAAATAAATGATTACATATTACTACTAAAACCCTGAAAATTGTGAAAACACAAGAATCCGTAAATCAAAGGAAATTAAATTATATTGCCATTTATCTTTAATTTCACAAGACCTTGGTTTAAAGTCCTTTATAATTTGTAATAATTGCTGAAACACTGTTTTAGTGAAGAATTGTGACAACCACAATAAGTGTCTTTTACAATTTTACTTTTGATTTCCATTTCTTTAATTGTTTTGTTCAAAATGAAAGCAACTGCCATCAGTGTTTGGTGATAATACCTGCAAACCAGGCTGCTCCCAAAAGACTGGTACTGAACCTCGAGTTTGGACAAAAGATGTTGTCATGTCCTCAAGCACAATAAACTGTTATGACATGAAATGGTATTAGTAAGGAAACTAGGTCAAAATTAACCCAAGTCAATAATCATTGTTAGTTGCTATTTTCTATGATATTTCTAAATACTGCATATGTTTTGATTGGGTTCTTTTTATGATCATAAGAGGACAAAGATATACAAAATAATCAACTTTGGCTTCTTTAATTTATAAGTCATACATGTGTTCAGTAATAGGGCACTCAATTGATTGCACCTTGTATGCCACTAGTTTTTTTCTTATCGCATTTTGACATCATCTGTGATCTATTACAGAACAGAGACAACTTAACATAGAATCTATCTGTTAAATGATTTAACTGTCTTGGGACTTAAAGACAGTATTATCACACCTCAGAAAAGAGAATTGGCATGACATTGTGTGCCATAAAATTCCATCATAGGAGCAAGGGACACAGATGATCCAGTCAGTACCTGTTCAGTTTCTACAAAATTTGCCACATGCCCATCATCATTTGTGCCTCTGACATAAAACCTTGTTCCTGCCCTCTCAGAACTCAGTCTAGACATGATACAAGCTTTAGCTTGAGTTTTTCCAGCATACACAGTTCTTATTTCCACTGCACCACACATAACCCGTAGCAGCCATTGTGAACAGTCAATTCCAAACCTCTGTAGGTGAATGTGTAAGCAGCGATTCCTACTCGGTAACAGAAAAAAGAGGATTACACTAGACTCAACACAATGGGAGATGTAGTGGCCTAATGGTTATTGACCTGGGCTTAGCATTGGAAGGTCTGTGTTCAAGACCTCTCAGGTCATTGCACTGTGTTCTTTCATAAGACACTACTTTCATAGTTCCTCTTAGCATCAAGAAGGGCAAGTGATTACCCCAACATGGTCAGGAAGGCTGATGATGCCTGGAAATAACTTGCCATGGAAAAGCATCTTGTCCAGAAGAAGTACCACCAAAAATGTTGAATTTAATCAAATAAGCACTGCCCCCTAAATAAGGGCCTCCTTTAGACAAGTGTCTCACTTGGGACAAAAAAGTTAACAAGCGTCACCCCTAAATAAACGCTGCGATGGCAGTGTGATGCTGTATGTAGCACTGCTTACCAAAAGTCTAGGCAGGTCAAGAGGTTCCCTCTATAAAATACTATATTTACAATAAAAATTATTGGGTAGCACTTACCAGAAAAACCTGTTATCAGGTTCACAGCTCTCATATCTTCTCTGTGCACACAATGTCAAATCCAATGGTTGCTGATCTCCAGAACAAACAGAGAAATAAAATGTTCCAGAGTTTAAAAACTTGCGTAGTTCAGTAAGAATCTCCTCATCTTGACCATCTTGCAATGGAACCAACTGAGTGGCATTGATACGAAATATTTCATTGTCATTTATCTTTCCTACTGATGTACAGCCAGTAACAAGAACAAGAAACAAACTTATCTCCTGTTCACCTACAAGAAAAAAATATCCTCAATGAGATAACTTGATCCAGGAAGCCTTGGTCAGAAATAATTAATAATTAGGGGATATTCATGATTAAGATTCAGAAAATTTCCACAAGCCAGTGATCATTTTTAAATTGCCATCAAAGTTCTTATTACACTTGCTCCCTCTAAAGGCACAATTTCAAATATGTTCATGATTGTGCCACGCCATAGTTTTCTGAGCTTGGTCTTTTTCATTTGATTTCTTCGCTGTGGTTGCAGTAATGATGGATTGTTTTCTGCGGATCACACCTGGTTGCCTGGGGTCCATCCTTGACAGTTGTGCTTGTTTCAAAGTCTCCATCTACTTCAGAAAATCAGATATTTTTTGTTGGGGCAATTCTCTCTTGGACAAATGCAGTTGGAGATGTAAATTTTACAGACCAGAATACTCACAATAGAACCTATTTTGTTAATGATTTCTCATTGGTTCTCCTGCAGACTTGGAACACCAGCAACAATAGGACTGTCATTAATAATGGAACCTTCTACATTAACAAGAAATTTTTGTCATATCTTTGGGATCAGAATGTCAAGATCAAATGCCATAAAATAATGTGTGCGTATTACTTAAATTTAACAGCGACATTCCATTGTTTTCTTGTGGACAACTAAGTATTTAAGCTCAATCCTTGTCCTGAGAACAATGATAATTTATCTACATTCTGTTCAAATGGTATTCGAAAAAACACCTCCATCTATGTGATCAAAAAACTCATCCAACCTCATTGTGATGAATTGCTTGCTTATGGTTAAGGATTTTAAACACCCATTGTCATTCTGCTTAATGAACACTCAATCTGTGACAAATAAATCAGCTGACATTTTCAACTTCGTTTGTGAACATAAAATTGATCTGCTTGCAATCACAGACTTGGCTAAATGTAAATGATGATGCAGTAAGAAATGAGTTGCCTCTGACAAATTACAAGCTTTGTGACCATCCCTGCACTGATCGTACTAGTGGTGGAACAGCTCTTCTTCCCTGAGACTCACTTCATGTGAAAAAAATGAATGATGATGTATTGCTTTATCACAGTGCTGCTTTCTATATTATTGATCACAGCATTCTCCTTAACAAATTATCATCAAAACTTGGTTTGAATGGCACTGCCCTTGACTGGTTCTGATCTTATTTGTCTGGCTGCTCCCAGTGAGTCTCAGTGCGGAGAGCTGTATCTGATGAGTTTGACCTGTGGCATGGTGTTCCTCAAGGTTCATGCCTTGGCCCACTTCTCTTTACAGTTTATGCAAGCGCACTGTTCAATGTCGTGGATAAGCACCTCCCAACTGTTCATTATTATTGCCAAAGACTCACAGTTAAACATCTCATCTGATCCCATGGCACACTCTGCCCAGACTGATGCAGTTGCTTCTATTGAACATTGCATTCAAGACATCAGGCAATGGATTTATAAAGACAAGTTGCTCATGATGATACCAAAACAGAACTTCTTTTGATCAACACCAGACAGCAACTTGCTAAAGTCACATTTGATGCAGCCATAACTACTGCCTTAATTACTGGATAATCTATCATTGCTCTACAATCTACCATTCGGAATCTGGGTGTGGTTAGATTCTAACCTATCAGTGGGTGATCACACAACGAAAACAAGCTCTGCAGCATTCTATTATTTGTACTCTATCAGGACGATAAGGAAAAATCTAAGCAAAGAATGTACAGAAACTCAGGTGCATGCCTTTATTTCCAGCTGCCTTGACTATTGTAATGGCCTGTTATATGGCTTACCAGCGTATAAGATTCAGAAACTGCAAAGAGCCCAGAACTCTGCTGCACGCCTTGTATTCAAAGGAAGTAAATTTTGTCATATTACACCATTGCTAAGAGCCCTACACTAGTTACCCCTAGCATACTGAATAGTTTTTAAAATTTTATTGTTAACTTTTGAGGCCATTCATAAACTTGCTCTGACTTACATTTCCCAAATTGTATCTCTGAAAGATACTATTGAAGATCAAATGACCAAAAGTGAGTGAAATGTCAGGAATTAAAGTACAGAGTGGCAGTTTAACTATTATACAATACAGCATGAGGAGCACAAAGAACTAAAATAAACAAATTACTTACAAAATTAATAAAATGACTTACCCAGATTAATTTTGAGTACTCCCAGACAGCCATAAGCATCAAAAACCTTTGAATATCCTTTCTTGATACTCTCTGTTTCCCATTGTGCTGTGAACAAACAGAAATGTCATGAAAATTGTAGATCAGGCATCTCATTAGGGTGAGCCAACATTATAAGTTTGCGATTGTTTATCGAACTGGCCATGTTTGATTTGAAGTTAGAGTGGACGGTGGGGGTAGGGGGCGGGGAATGGCAAAAAGACGCTTGCCTGAAAAGCAAAACACCCCCTGATTAGTTGTGCGCCACTGTATTCCAGAAATTAGCACGTAACCAATCAAAATGAGTTAAATAAAAAAACTGGAGGCACTGTCTTCCTACAAGAAAAAAAAAACACAGAAAGAGCCAATTAGTGAAATGGTGAGGCAGTTGCTTCAGCCAGAAAAGAAATGGCTTTGACAAAACCTCCTCCGCAGTCATAAATATGAGCTGATATATCTGCTGTGCTCTATATTTTCTAAACAACAATCCTTGAGTATAGCTGTCATTATCTATTTGATGATTTTTTGAAGATGCTTTTGCCATTTGATCATAAACAATACTTTGAAGCTGACAAATGACAACAACACTCGAAGGTTTCCCCATCATTATTTCTTTCATATAAACCAATACCTGAAATATCAGGCTTTTTTCAAAGCCAGTTGGCAATACAGCAGGTAGATCCTTTCCTAAAATCAGTGTAGGGATTGCTTCTTTTTGTTCGAATTAATGTGTGAGACATACCAAATTCTTAGAGACACTTAAGTGCTTCCTCAAAAACAGAATCAAAACTAACAAATTTACCATCAACAATTTCTTTCTCCTACAAGAGTATAATGTCTGAATGGCGTATTTGGCTTGTGATTGACAGCTTAACCACACCAATTGGGAACTCCATTCATGGGCGAACAGAGTTTTGCAAAATAACAATGACCTAGTACAAGCATAATCTTCACTCCCGCACACCCATCCCTCTAGTTATTTCTGGCTATGGACTGCTCCCTTGGTACAAATTTCTTTCTCTCCCCAGCCTTCCACTGCCATTAAAATTAAAGATGGCAGCAATAACTGTTACATCTGACATCCAACCACTTGAAACCGCCGCCCTTCCTGATTTCTTACCACCACCGGACCAACCACCAACTATAACCACCTCAGCTGTATGTCGTAAGCTACTTGGTCTTAGTGCCTCAGGGCCGGATGGCATTCCCACGCACCTCCTCAAAAAATTTGCACCTTGCTGAACCAGTAACTGTGATCTTCAATCGCTCAGTGTCATCTGGCGTGTTTCCAGAATGGTGGAAACCTAACACCCATCCCAAAGGTCAAACCAGTTACGGGTGACAGGGACTTGCGACCTATCGCCTTGACTCCAGTGCTCTCTAAGGTGCTTGAAGATTTCTTTGTTGAGTGGCTGATAGATGACGTTAAACATCATATTGATCCTCAACAGTTTGGCAGCCTTAAAGGTACTTCTACAACCTACTGCCTATTGGACATGCTGCACAATTGGTTGTCATCCCTTGACTGCCCTGGCAAGTTCCTCCATGTGTGCTTTCTGGACTTTAGCAAAGCATTTGATCACATTGACCATACCATCTTGGTGACCAAGCTAATCCATCTAGGTGTTAGAGGCTGGTTGATTAGTTGGATTTGTAGCTTCCTCAGTGGCCGCCGCCAGGCTGTTAAGCTCTTGGACTCCATCTCAGAGTGGATGCCCGTACATGCTGGTGTCCCCCAGGGCACCAAATTGGGTCCAATCCTTTTTCCGATAATGATCAACAACCTGGCTACTCACTCCCCCCTTCGAGCCACTGGAAGTACATTGATGAAGTAACAATATCCGAGGTCTCCAGTTTGGGGGAGGTGTCATCTCTGCAGAACGACATCGACTGCATTTCACAATGGGCCCAGCAGAACAACATGAATCTAAACCCTAAAAAATGTAAGATCATGACCATCTGTCCACTCAAAAACAAACCCCTTCCACCAATGCTCTCTATCAATAATTTACCTCTAGAGACAGTTTTATCTTACAAAGTTCTCGGTCTGTGTGACACCCTGAGGTGGAACAATAATACCAACAACATCTCCAAAGTGTCCAAGCAACTGCACATTCTTAGGGTCTTGAAGCGTGCTGGGGTCCCTCCGGTGGACCTTGTCACCATCTATAGCACCTTGGTTTGCTCTGTCCTAGAATACTCTTCCGTTGTCTGGGCTACCTGCCTTCCTTGCTTCCTCATTGACCAGCTAGAAGCTATCTAGAAGAGGGCTCTGCGAATTGTATATCCTGACCTCTACTATCAACAGGCCCTTGCCCAAGCCAACATTACCAGTTTAGAGCATAGACGCGCCCATCTGTGTCTCAAAGTGTGGTAAAATATCAAAAATAACCCAGCCTGCCAGCTGCACTGTCTCCTCCCTCCCGTGCGATCCAAATGCCACTCTCACCATATTAGGAACAGTAGTAGTTCTAGCTGTTTTCAGTATAAACCAAAACGCTTTGGTTCTAGTTTTTTCCCAGCAATGGCAAAAATCAACTAATCAATAGGAGTCTGGTTATTTTTTATTATAGTATTTTACCCATATCTGAGTTGTAAATAATTTATAAATAGCCTGTAATCCCAGTCCCTTCAAAACAAATGTAACTTTATTTCTTGTATCATGTAGGCACACTGTAATTCAAAGTTTTTATGCCATTGTGTGTATTTTAATAAACCATTATTATTATTATTATAATTTCCATTAAGGAAATACTGAGCACTTGCTTGCCAAAATTACATCTGCTCTGCACACTAAAACATTCCATGATACTCTGCATCTGTTCACTAACAGATCACATATCTTTATAACAACTTTATGTAAATAGTAATAATATATATAATATATTATTATTAAAAAAGGGTTATAGAGGGAAGGAACTTATCCTCATTGCAAACTATATCCCAGATATAAATATTTAGTACTATGCAATATACATAATTATACACACTGAAACATTTTACATACAAGCATATATCTATATAAATATAAAATCTAAGAAAAGAAGACATATCTAAGATAAAAATTCTGTTGAAATGATGAATAATTAAATGATGTATAATGTTTAGAATAACTTAATTTTGTACTTATAGGCCTAGTTAAATAATGTTGATTTTAGAGCTTTCTTAAAAGTGTTCATTAGGTCAAATTCAACTACTGATGATGGTAAACTGTTCCATGTGTCGATATATCTGTGCCAAAAAGAATACTTAAAGATATCTGTACAGCAAAATGGTTTATAGAGTTTAAACTGATGACTTTCTCTTGATTGCCTGTCACTGAAGGATATGTAATCATTAGTGTTTACAGAGTAGTGTCCTTTAATGAACTTAAAAAGCTAAATCAAACTAAGAAACTCTCTGTGTTGAACTAGCATAAGTAGTTTCAAGGATTTCAGTAACATTCCTTTGTACACATTCAAGTTTTTCAAACAAATATGTTTGGTGAGGATTCCACACTTGACAGGCGTACTCGAGTATTGGACAGATCATGGATTTATAACCAGTGAAAAGAGCCTTAGAGTGAGATCCAAATGTCCCCTTGAGTAAGCCCAATAATCTGTTCAATCTTGCAACAACAGACAGTAAATGGGGTTTCCAAGATAAATCATTGGAAAGAACCACCCCAAGATGTTTGTGTGTAGACACCTGGGTAAGTAGCTAGCTATTAATAGTGAAGTTGCACGGAGAGGGAGCTCTAGCCCTGGTGAACTTCATGGACTTGCATTTGTCAGCATTTGCTCTTAAAAACCACAAGCCACACCAATCAGTGGCTTTATCTAGACTCTCCTGGGCAGTGATGGATGTTTGAGAATTGGAGGGCAGCTTACTCAAGCAAACATTTGGACATATCAAGTCAGAATGTGGTGAGAACAAAAAGGTGGCATATGAGAAACAGCTACATAACTAGCCAATTTTCAGGCCTTGATTCCTCAGTAGAAAATACTAAGTTAATTCACAGAACAGCAAAGTTTTAAAAGACTGTGAACACCTGATGTTGTTGCATTACATGAATTAAAAGTGATAGAACTATTCTTTCATTTAAAATTATTTCTCGCATATTTCTTTTGAGAATTTTTCACCCATCACTGCCTCACTCAAAATTCTTTTAATCGCTGCATGGCCTTACATTACTTCAAGATCCCTTTGTAGGCATTCGGATATTTAGATTTGCTTTGCCAGACCCTATATAAATAAAGGTTAAACCCACGCCTGCTAACGATCACTCCTTGGTTCCATATAAAGGACAGACAGTTGTTAATTGTCTGCGCTATGCAAATATCATCAGATGCATTCGATCGAAACAATTTAATTTAAGTTGGTTTGATCAATTAAAAGGAACGTCAGAACGCGAACGAGAAAGAGTTTTAGAATAGTGCTAGTGGAGATACATGTCAGGTGCCGATTTTCTTTGAAAAACAAAATAGCCATAACGTCATTCTTTCCGGAAACAGGGGAAAAGATCGCATAAAAAAAACTTTGTTACTCACACAGCTCAGCGATTGCCCCACTCTCAAAGAGTAGTGTATCAGGTCTCCCTTTGAATTCCAATAACACGGAGACAGGATCTTTGTCTATCTTACTATAACAAACGAACGACTTTCCAATCAACATTCTCAACGGCGTCCAAGAGGATCGTGTTCGCTCTAAGAAATAGGAAATGCCGGTAAAAAGAAAAACTGTTTACAATTCCACACCTCCGTCCTGTCCGCCATCTTGTATACTAATTCCGCAGACCAATGTGATTGGTTTGTGATTGGACGCACGGATGGATGACGAGGAAGACGGGGAGGGAAATGTGGGGTGGACGGGGGACGGGGAACGGGTGGGAAAAGGAGGAATAAGGATAGAGGCCGCTTTAGTTCACCCGGGTGACGGGATGAAAAAGAAGGAATAAGGGAAGGGGCCGCTTTAGTTCACCCGGTTCTACCAATAGGGTTACATGGAGTACCAAAGTGAAAGAGTAAGTGCCGCTAGGTCTTTAAGGAAAAACAGATGATTCAATTGATAATTGGTTTATGGTATGGATGCACTTTGGAAATTAAATTTGGAGAACACAAGAAAATCTGAAGAGTCACTTAAGGCGAATCCAAGGGCAACTCTCGCTGCTAAAGGGCTTACCAAACTTTCTGCGTGTATTCTAATCTCGATATAAGCACGCTGAGTACGAAACAATTCTTTTATAGCAAGAGGACACACTGGTCTTGTTAGATCGATGGTTCATCAGGAATATTGTCATGGAACATTCTTTGAGCAAGTTGGCCATCTGTTATCACGCGATTGGTTCTTTGAATTGGTTGAAGAATATAGAGACGAAAAACGTCGAATTAAAATACTAAAATTTAAGCGTAGTTTTTGCTTGAAAATGTCCGATACCCAAAGGAAGATTTTGACTCCTCACATCGATGTCAACGTTGCCTTTTAAGGTGCATTTGCCTAGCAGAGGTTCCAGAAAACTTTCAGTTTTCTCAGTGGCCGCAAGACTTAAATTTTCGATTGAAAGTTCAACTGTAGATGAAGATACTCGTGACACCCGCCGATAATTGACTATAGGGAAATTAAGCAATCTGAACTCGTGGCTGAACTAGACGAGAACTTACTGGTGAAATGCAACTTCCCATTCAACATCATGTCAGATAATTTAGTTTTAATAACTGAGTTGATATTGTAAATTGACTACCGTGAGGGGTTTCTGAAGCTGACGCTTTGGGCGTTAGTCCTTCGTCAGAGAGATTGAATCACGTTACACTGAGGTTCGGCTGAGCGTTCTTAGCTAAGTAAACCATGATGGCTTTATAAAGGCAAGATTACACAAGCGCGCTATTTGATATGCAATGAGCCTACTGTTATTTCACAAGAAATTATAACAAGTCTATAATCTGTTGTATTTCATGAATAGACAACGTACCAGTGAGTGTAAACTATTTAACGGACTAGTTTTTTCAATTATATTATGGTTTAATTAAAATGCTTCATTAATTCATTTTTACCAACAGTGACCAGATGATTAAATTTTTTCACTAAACCTGAAAAATATAAGGACAGATTTGAAGTATCTTCTTCCCCTTTCCTACAATCAAGTTATCTTTTTATTTAGTTTAACATACCTCTTCAATCCCTGTATAAAGCAGTCATGCAAATGAATTAGCTTAGGAAAAACCACAGTAATATTTAAAGGTAAAGAGGACAAGCAGATCTATTATATACATCACAGTGTCCGTGTAGGGATAAATACAGCAATAACAAATAAAACTTTATCTTTTGAAATAGTCACGGCAAAAATTTCGACCAAAATGAATCACACGACGGTCTCTTTCATTCCCAGCGATAGATTCAGCGCAGAGGAAATTGTGGTTTTTGGTTTGTTGGGGCTTCTTATTGTATTAGGAAACACTGTGAGCATTATAATGTTCTGGAGAAGAAGGTTCTTCATGGAAAGATCATCGATTCTATTGATAAATCTCAGTGTTGCTGACTTTATCGTTGACTTAGTTGTCATTTTTACAGCAATCGTGGGGAACCTTTTTCTACAAGATGGCAGTAACGGCGTTAAGAATATCCCAATAACGATCATCATCCCATTTGACGTGTTTTCTGGGTTAAGCTCAATCTCCTTCCTCACCGCCATTGCGGTGGAGAAAACCCACACCTTACTTCGACCTCTTCGCCATGTCACCACGGCAACACGTAATTACGTCATTTTCATCTCCAGCTTGTAGGTCTTTACAGGCTTTCTATCTTTTTTAGCGCTCTTTTCATGGTGTGAATACCTGAACTTTATTTTAAGTACCACTGTGGTACCTGCATTGGACTGGCCGTTCTTGCGTCTCTTACACTACAATATGGGTCAAACTTAATCAAAGAGACTTTGTCCCTCAAAGCCCAGAGACAGCCCGAAACAAAAAACTGGTTAAACACTTTTTCTCTTTGGCTTAAACGCGACAATTCCAACGATAGAATATCACTGAAAGGTGCTAACCATGGGACGAAAGGTAAGGAACATAGAGGTATTACAGAGGTAATACACACACCGTATTTCATAAGAATTTATTTACAAGTACATAAACTTGATAAGCATTGCTCCATCTATAGTAAATCAGCGAGTTATGTCATAAATGTACATTCGCTTAACAGAAACAGGATTGAGGAGGTTCACAAGAATTTTACGTGTCATTGAAACAAATCCTATAATTAAACTTTACTAGAAATTAAAACTACGCTTCGTAAAATCTAATCTAATTTAGCTGATAGTAATCGTGTAATTGTAAACTTCTAATTAAAATTCTAAAATACAATATTCTTAGAGTCATCATTGCGGGTTCATTTTTTAACTGATTGCCCCACTAGAGAACTTAACGTTCAATCGAAAGACTAAAAAAGCAAATTTAGGAACTTCATAACACCACGAACCCTACAATGGTTGGTAAGACAACCGTAAAGGAACGAACGGTGGATTAATTTGGATGAATCTCTGTTTTCAAAGACTTTGAACGCGTGCAAAAACGTAGACGGTTAGGTGTGACCGGCAGTGCCTCAAAATATCGATCCATCAACATGCTTTAAGCTCCAATAAACCCATCCTCTAACTGAGAACTAAACATTAAAACCACTGACTAAAAAACAACTCGTGAAATTTATACCAGTTCCCACATAATCCTCTAAGTTTCAATAAGATACATGTCGTTTAAGCCCAGTAAACGTGATTTTAATTCTTAATAGACTAAAACCGATATATTTCCATTATTGCTATTTACAAGAACATAGAGGGAACATTGGTATCAATGGAATGCATTGAAACCATGTTGTCGATTCCTCTTTCTCTATACCCCAGGGGAGGGTTACTCGGTGCACTTTCCTCACAGCAACAACAAAAAATGCGCCTGACTCCTTTCCTAAAATCTTTCACGCGCAGAGCATAAATAATGGGGTTTACAACTGAGTTAAAATAATGGAGGAATTTCGTAGCGTATATTGCGTGATAGAGACAGGCAAAGTCACCTGGGCTACATGAAAGGGTTGCACCCCGCTGAAAGTGAAAAATGTAATTAATCACTTTAAAGGGCAACCAAGTGACTATAAAAATCAAGCTTAAGATCAGGAGAGTAACCGCCATCCTCTTCTGAAAGTCATCGCTTTTGTTGCGCGCACCCAGTAAAATGCAGGCGATCACTGAATAAGCGACCACAATAGTTATCATTGATAAGGCAAGTAAAATCATGATAAACAGGAATACCCCCTCATTATCTGCTGCACCGACATGCTCCTCTCGGAGAAACGACAAAACGCCGAGTAGCACCGATAAAAGCCAGATAGAGGTGATTACGATGTAGTAAACGATAGGTTTCAAGTTATCATGCCCGACTGGAGACAAAGCTGCGTAAAGTCTCTCCAAAGCGATAGCGACCAGGAAGAAAATCGAGGCATACGAGGCAAATATCTCGATGGCGGTCTGGGCAGGTTGTACGTGATCGTCCACATCCCACCAATTGGTAACTGATCCACCAATGTAATGAATGAACATCGGTATCGCTACCGCACCCACCAGGAGATCAGCCACTGCCAAGCTGATTAGCAACAGATAGGTTTTCCTGTGTAAGGACTTAGTGATGGCGAAGGCAGCTATAATAAGGATATTCCCAATAATAATTGCCGCCGACTCTAGGCCGTAGACGACGCACCAGGCTCGGTTTTCTTTTTCTGAAATTAGCTTGGTCATCTTGATTTCCTCGTCAGTGAAGAGGATGTGACCTAAAATCGTATATGGTGGAAAAAGTAATGCAGCAATATTTAATTGAGTATCGGAAGTAAGCTGAGAATGTGTTGAGTTTGCTCCACTTCGCTTTGTTCCAGAACTTTATAAAGTATTGAGCACCTCCCCTCACCTGTGTCACCGTCTCAACCAATCAGATGCAAACAGAGATCAATAGCATTTTCCTGCACTTCGAACGATTTTTTTGTCTTTTTTGTTTTGTTTTGTTTTGTTTTCGAGCCTTTTTTTGGCTCTTTGAAATATTTTTCTTTCCTAACCCTAAAATCGCAATTATTTGGGGTTTATTTTTCAAAAATGTGCTTTAAGTTCACTTGTATTCACCCATCTACCAATTGAATCGGCTGAAAGAGTTTTTAGTTGGCTGAAATCCTTCAAATAAAAAAGCTCGAAAGTTAAGAAATTATAAAAATTCAAAACTCCCTTACACTTTTTTTATTCTATTTACATAACACGACGCTAACGACATTGCTTATCCAAGCAGTATATGCAGACGTATATCATATATGAATGAAGGGGGTGAGTTTCTAAAGAAACTGTGGTGCTGCGTCGATGGGAGAGCATAACAGGATAATTTAGTACTATCAAGTGAGTTGATAGCGTTAATTGGCCACCGTGAAGAGTTTCAAAGCAGACGTTTCGAGCGTTAGCCAACTCAGTTATCAATATGTATTATGAACTCAATTGATAATACTGAATTCCCCTGTCATACGTGAAATTCGTAATGGGCCTTGCTCATCATAGTTGGTAGAGCATCGGAGCGCAGATTCCGAAGGTCTGAGGTGCGTTTCCACAAAAGTGGTCATTAGCCGTGTATTTTTGTTCGCGAAGGCCGGAAAATTTGAAATAAATAAGTTTGGTAAGAGTGCCATCTAACAATCTACTTAGTAACCCCGCTTACTCATTCCCTTTGCTCGAGCCCTATTGGAGAATATTGGCTC